ACGGGCATCATACTGTCCTTGTAGAACCATGTGCCTCGAACTATCTGGGCAACATCACTGAGCGGCGACCAGTATATGGGCTCCATTCGTATTGAGTCTGCGTCCATGACTACATGATGTAACCTCGAGACTCCAACAGGGACCTTCGCAGATGGACCCGGCTTTGGCTTGGAAGGTTTCGCGGGCCCCTTATCCTTGGCCGACGACAGCGCGGGCTCCATGTCATCATCCCATTTGTAGCTGTCTACTTCATGTATTGTCGGACGGTGGCTTCCCTCTGGGGGCGTAGGCTTCCATGATTTGGTCAAGTTCCCTCTCGAAGGTGCTCGGATAAAAGGCGTACCGGTCGTCGTAGGCTCGAGGGGCGATATGGATCCGTGATCGTATGCGTATGGCTTGAATGAGCCTGACGCGGAGTGGACATGACTGCCACCACTGGAGCTCGGTCGCTTCCTATCCAGCATCTCTGCAGACCTGGAGTACTCTCCTCTGCCAACCATCTCCCGGCCTGGTATATCTCTGCCTTGAGTAGAGCTTTCGACGCTGGAAGCGCTGCCGCCTCTCTTCCTCTTCAACCGCTCTACCGCTGGGTTCGTAGGTGTGCCCCTCCCCGTCCCGTCTTTCTCACCAAACTCCTCATTGTGCTTAAGAATCTTCTTTCGGAGCGCGTGCCATGCCTCCTGGATAGCTTCATTGTCGTATTGGGAGAAAGGTCGTGGAGGTACCCTTTTTGCAGCCGAGGCGCCTGTTGGTGGTGGCGGTATGGGCGACAGCGGGTCATCTATAGCGAGCGGCGATGTGTAGAAGTAGCGAATGGGTATGGCTGGGGGTGTCTCGGTGTTATGCAGAACCTCGCGCACATATTGGTTGGCGCGCGACGACAGGGTGGGATCGTCTACGGCCATGGTGGATGATGGCATGGCTGGATCGTCGGGTGCTGCAACTCTTAACAGAAGCAGCTGTATTAGGGTTTCATGATATCATAATGGTCAAGGGGAGATTGTTTGCCTTCCTCACGTGCACATGAGCAGAGATGACAAGATGACAGCTGGCTGCAAGGAAGTGGAAGCCTTGGAAGGATAGTTGTTGTAGCGCAATACATTTCCGATCATCATTCGGAGCACTGACGCAACCGCTCGTCGCCAAAACAAAACGCGTGCCCCGGCATGTGAACAGTCGTTCAGCCGCCAGCCTCCACTCCACCCATGCACCTCATCATTCACACATCTAGATCCACAATCTCATGTCGCTCTCCCCCCATTCGCATATGTTTCCCTTGCTGATGGCAGGAGAACCCCATCTGACCAGATCGGCTGTCGAGCATGGCCATGGCCTCTAGCAGTGTGCATAGCGCCTGAACCATGACATCTCCTGATGCAAAATGCCTCGAGCCAGAGACCCATGAGGATAGGCGGGTGCAGCAGGCCATGCAGACTACCAGGCTACCAGGCTACCAGGCGCGACTTTCACAGAGCGACAGTCCGCTACCCCACCCGACTATAAGCAAAGAAACAGCAGCCTAGATGCTCAAGACTTCAACGCCTCACCAACTCCCACATCACATACAACAGAGCCGGCACCTCGACTTGCGCCTTTCATCCAAGTCACAGCTACATTGACATTCTTTACTTTCATTTGTTTGCTCCTGGTAACCTAGCTATATATGTACATCCAGTCTCCAGTTTTTTTTAAACACATTAAGAGAAACCCGCTTAACCGAAAAGCATGTCACCGAGACGGATCGACACGGTCTTGGTCTGGGTGTAGTTGTCGAGCGCTGCCTCACCCAACTCGCGGCCAATACCAGACTCCTTGTAACCACCGAATGGCAGTTGCCAGTGAAGAGTGTTGTAGGTGTTGACCCACACTGTTCCGGCCTTGAGCGCGTTGGCAACTTCGATGGCAGTCTTCAGGTTGGTGGTGTGGAGGGCAGCAGCGAGACCGTATGTGGTCGAGTTGCCAATCTTGATGACCTCTTCCTTGGTCTTGAACTTGGAAATTGTGCATACTGGGCCGAAAATCTCTTCCTGTTGAATCTTCATGTCCTCGGTAACGTTGGAGAAGATGGTGGGCTCAATGAAGTAGCCCTTGTCACCCTTTCGCTTACCACCAGTCTCGACAGTGGCACCAGACTTCTTACCATCCTCAATGTAGCTAATTTACCGAGTCAGTACAGAAACTTTTATAAGAATGATGGCAAGCCTTACCTCATGATGCGGTCAAACTGAAGCTGTGAGACCTGAGGACCCTGGAAGGTGTCCTTGGCGAATGGGTCACCAACAGCATTCTGGGCGGCGCGCTCCCTGAATCGCTGAATGAACTTGTCGTAGATGGACTCCTCGACGTAGACACGCGAACCAGCGCAGCAAGTCTGGCCGTGGTTGAAGTAGATACCAAAGTTGACCCAGTTAAGGGCCTCGTCCAAATCGGCATCAGCGAAGACGATGTTGGGGCTCTTGCCTCCAAGCTCAAGAGTAACCTTCTTCAAGTTGGAGCCAGCAGCGGCCTTCATGATTTGACGGCCGACAACAGTGGAACCAGTAAAGGCAACCTTGTCAACGTCCATGTGCGAGGAAATAGCAGCTCCGGCAACCTTGCCGAAACCTGTGATGACGTTGATGACACCTGGTGGGAAACCGGCCTCCTTGATGAGCTTGCATGCAACGTATGCGGACAGGGGAGTCTGCTCAGCAGTCTTCAAGACAACTGTGTTACCGGCAGCAATAGCAGGGCCAATCTTCCAGGACCACATGAGGATAGGGAAGTTCCAGGGAATGATCTGACCGCAGACACCAATCTGAAGAGTTTAGCTGCATGCTCGGAATTCTTGTGTAGAAGCAGACTCACAGGCTCCTTGCGGATGTAGTTGAAGGTGTCGGGAGTGGTGTCGACGATCTTGCCTTCGATCTTGTCGGCCCATCCTCCGTAGTACCGCAGGCATCCAGCAGCAGCGGGAAGATCGACGCTTCTGGCCATGTTGAAAGCCTTGCCGTTGTCGAGTGCCTCGACTGCAGCGAGAAGGTCGGCGTTCTTCTCAAAGAGTTCGGCAAGCTTGACGAGGAGCCTTCCGCGGTTCTCTGGTGTCTCCTTCCTCCATGGGCCGTTGAAGGCCTTGCGTGCGGCAGCGACAGCAATGTCAACATCCTTCTCAGTGGCCTCTGCAACACTGCAGATGACCTCCTCGGTGGATGGGTTAATGACCTCGAAAGTCTTGCCGTCGACGCTCTTTACGAACTCGTTGTTGATGAACCTGTATCATCTGTCAGTACTGACACACGCCCAGAGAGATGGTCGAGGTATGGAAAAGCTTCCGAAGAAGCTCGAGGTTCACATGCATGACTTACAGGCCGGTGGGCTGCTCGTACTCGCCCGTCTGGGGAGTCGATAGCTTTACTGAGGTCTCAGACATGGCTGTAAAAACGAATCGGGGTATCTGAAAGGAAAATGGGAGTGCGAGATTTGAAGATTGAAAGAGGGGCAAGGGGGGGCAATGAGAAATCTTAAGTATTCGAATCGGCAGGGCACGACCGCACTAGACGGCATCTCCACAGCAGACAAGCATTGTAACACGACTGCTAGGCCAGACAGTCTCGGTCATCGGGAGCCCACCAAGGGAAAGCTCTGCAACCTATCGTGTGCGCCAGGGATGCATGGGTGGATGAGGTTTTACTCAGCAGCGGGGGTCTATGCCCCGCTCCAGTGGCCAGTGAAAGCTACCCCTCCCCCGCAGTTGTGTCGCCCAAGCCGCAGCTAACCTTGGTGCAATGCGGTACTCAATGCGCTGCGCGCAAAAAGAAGCCGAGATGCGTCCTTCCCGATGACGGCATCCTTTGCTTGTACCAGCCTTATCAATTCTGTGTAAGCATTCATGTCGTTCGCCAGTACCCATCCAACACCAGCTCTCCACACGACCCCTCTGCTAGAACTGAAACAGTAGCCCTATCGTCCATCCCAGCAAGCTCGCCCTCTTCTAACGCGAACACCGAGCTACGGTGACTATTGTCACCAGCACGGCCTACATGTATCGGGACATTTCCAAATCTTGCCAAGGCCAGATGAGAAAAGAATTGTAATCACCTCACCTGTCCGAATCAGCTGCATCGGACGAGCGCTCCTTTTGCCCAGCAACCTACCTCGTCAGAAGCTAGGGTAGCCGCGGATCTCCACATGGCCTAGGAAATGGCGGGGAAGACTCGAAAAGGCTTGGTTCCACGGAAGACCGCAAACCCTTTCGCACGAAAGGGTACGCCGTCCCAGATACGCGTGTTTCAACTCCGGGAGCCGCAGCTGACTACGGCTGCCAACGATGTCGTCCTGCAGTGGTGTGATGTCCAGTGCAAGAAGGTTTCCACATTCGGTCTTGAACAAAAGGAGGTTGTCCAAAGACGGTCATGTCACGGCTATCTCTAAAGCCTTTGTTTGCCGCCACACCTTGGTCCCACCCGGCTTTGGCCGACATGGCCGATGGTCCACATCTGCTTCCTTTGCGAAATGCGAAATGCGACAACACTCCCGCCTTGCACACTTGATGCATATCTTGTGGATATCCTGTGGGGCTCCCCATGCAGTGCCTGGATAGTATTGCCACCCTGCGCATATGAACCACGTGGATGGCCGGCCAACCCCAATCCAGATGTGACCATGTAGTAGAAGCATCACGAGAAGAGATACAAGAAACCAAGGATCTTTTGGATGTGTTTGTGCAATCATGACCATTCTTCATTGTCGCTACCTAGGCTCATAACAGTACAATTTGAGAGCCGAAAACGAAATGTCCATGAGCAGTGTGCAAAAGCCGAATTGAATATAACGCTGAACTCGGACTGACAGCGACCAGACTTATCGTGGTATGATATTTTCCAAATGATGACGCTCCCAAAGAAAAGAAAATGTAAAGCCAGACAGACTACCGGAAAAGCCGACCAAGTTTCAACCGACGTTCAATTAAATCATAACAGAGTAATGGGGGGTGCTGGGAGAAATGCCGATACAAATGGCGTTTAGAGCATCTCATCATCCATGGCAGTGTCACCGCCGGCGGTAACCTGGGCGACTTCAGCGCCACTGGCAGCGTTGCTGGTCTCACCTCCGGGGAAGTAGTCGGCCATCTCAGCATCCAGCTCCTCAACGGTCTTCTTCTTTGGGCGTGCGTCACGACCGCCGCGGCCCTTTCCGCGTCCACGGGTCTGTCCACGTCCACGAGTGGCACCAGCAGCAGCCTTTTCCGTAGTGGCGGGCTTGGGCTTATCCTTCTTGGGTTGGCTGCAAGTGGGTTAGCGGGGATTCTTTTCTGAGCAAGACAAGTGTACGTACGTAACGCGATCGGCGAGGGAAGCTGGGCGTGCAGCAGCCGGGATTGCGCTAGGGCTGACGAGCATCTCAACGCGAACAGGGCGCCCGTCAATCTTAACACCGTCCAGAGCAGCAGTAGCCTTAGCAGCTTGATCGTGCTTGTTGAAAATGATGGTTGCGCTACCAACGCTACGACCAGCAGCATCGTACTGGAGGAGAACCTTCTTTGGTCGACCTACGTTGATTGCTGAAGCAAAGTAATCCTACAAGGCGTATTAGTGGTCGTGCTAGGGTTTGAATTCGCGAAAAGTGAAGCATCATCGGCTGCGAGTGCGGCGTCGGCGGTGGGTAGTCGTCGATCTCATATAACACGGTTGGGAGCGCCGCTCGGAAAGTGGGTTTCGTGATCCTGTGCCTGAACGCAAGGTTCGGCAAGACAAAGCTAACTCAGCGCGAGAGCGGTCATTGCGAGTAACGTGTTACAACGTTGCGAGGTAGTCTGCTGATGCCTGCCCGCGCCCCTCTGATAATTTCAAGGCCATCTGTGACTGTACTCGATAATCTCATCTCGCTGCTCTAACGACCTGCTAGAGTCTGCCGCATAGCGCCCAGGAAAATGTCACTGGGGCATAGCTGTCTGTGCTGCCACTCAAAAAAAGTGTAGCTTGGGAAAACGCATCACCCACTTTCGTCGTTGCGGTAGCTCAAAATGTTCGCATGCTGCTAATCGTATCCCAGTCTTGTGTGCCCAACACAGATCATGGTTTGATTTTTTGCAAGTCATGGCTCAACATCCATACCGGAAGGCGGAGGAAATGTGCTCGATTCGTCGTATCGCACTTGTTGGTGTTCGCTAACGCGAGAAGAGTAGGCTCAAAGACCTGCATCGGTCTTACATACCTGAAGTTGGACTTGGTCAATGTCCCTTGGCTGGTGTAAGTTAGCAAAGTTCAAGTGCGATGAGCAGGTCGGAAGCATACCAAGTTGGATACCATGATCTTTGTCTCGCCGGCCAGGATGACGGCGGGTGCGGCAGGCGCAGCCTTGGCGGGCTTGGCTTGCTTGGTGGACTTTGCAACACCGCCAACAGGAGCTGGAGCGGCGGCTGGGCGTCCCGCGCCGGAACGGCGACTGCTGCGGCCACGGCGAGAAGTCTTGGATGCCTTGAGGATGTCGTCGAGGCTCTGCTCCATCTTGTTTGACGACATGGTGATGAGTGGTTGAGGAGTGGTAATACTTGGAGTGAGCGGGCGTTGGTGTAAAGGCGCGCTGATGTCGGGCAGACGATGTGAGGGCTAGCAAGTAGCGAGGGCAGCGGTCTCTATGATGGAGGCGCGACTGGAACAGTAACAAGACTGGGAGGACAAAGGAACGCGCTGTTTGGGGACAGGCGCGTCGTGAATAGTCAACTCGTGAGTCGAAGAATCAAAGCGGGCTTGCGCAAAAGGAGAGAGTGCGGCGCTGAAACCTGGGCTTGTAGGAGATGAAGCGCAGATGCTGTGTGTATTTTGTAAGGTGGGGAGTGTGGTGGTGAGATGAGGAAAGGAGAGAGAGCGTGAGGCAGCAAGACAATCAAGAGGCCAGGTGCCAAGAAAGGCTGAGCCATGCAGCGCTGGGAAAGCCGTGATTGGCCAACGCGCACGGTGGACGGGTGGGCCGCACTTCCCCAGCTAGGGCCGTGAGTGACGATAGCTCTTGCTATTCAGGCTGCGGCGAGAATGGAGCGATAGCAGTATGGCAGTCACTCCGGTTAGTGTACAACCATTCACTCTTCATGTCCCCTCATGTCAGTGCTAATGAGCGAGAAGTGGCAGTTCCGGTTCTTCGACGTCTCCCAAGTCAAGCTCCCCGATGACGAGGACGCTTTCCTGTCCGAGGTACGATGCCATCCTCCTCCACGCGTACATGGTCTTATGAATACTCGTAGATTGGAGACATTACTTGCATAGTATCCGGATCCGAGAGCATCTTTTTCGGTGGTGCAGATGGCGTCGTTCGCATCGTATCCGAGGCCTTCAAGGTCGTGCGCACCTTCAAGGCCCATGATACCGGCTCAATCACCCACATGAAGCAGATCGAGGGCACCTCTCTCCTAGTCACTATAGCCGAAGACCTCTCCGACGAGCCAGTTTTGAAAGTTTGGGCCCTGGACAAGCTCGAGAAGAAGACGGGCATTCCACGATGCCAAAGCACCCTCACTATCCACAATGGGCGCAAGCAGTTTCCCATATCCGCCTTTGCAGCGCTCGATGATCTATCACAATTGGCAGTTGGTTTCGCAAATGGCGCTGTCACTGTCGTACGCGGCGACCTCATCCACGACCGCGGCGCGCGACAACGGACCGTCTTCGAATCTGAGGAGCCCATTACTGGTATAGAGTTTAGGGAGGGCAATATCACAACCTTGTACATTGCAACTACCGGTCGCATCATGACGCTCATAATATCGGGAAGGGGCCAGGGGCAGCCTGCGAAATCTCTCGACGAGTATGGCTGTGGTGTGGGTTGTATGGCCGTGGACAAATCGACTCGAGATGTGGTAGTCGCACGCAATGACGCTATTTATTACTATGGCCAACACGGACGTGGGCCGCCGTACACATACGAAGGCGAGAAAAAGATGATTTCTGTCTTCAAAGACTATATCGCTATAATTGCGCCTCCAAAGACGAATGCGATGCCCCGGTCCAACCCTCTCCGAGCCTTTGGCGTCGGCGCGGCCGATGATGTCTTCAACACGTCTAGCTTCACGCTCCTCAATACAGAGCTGAGGTTCATCGCCCACCAGGAACAACTGACCTCGCAAGTGAAGGCCGTTGTCGCGGAGTGGGGAGATCTTTTTGTCTTTACAATCGACGGAAAGGTAAATTACCGGAGGGATATCGGTGTTCAGAGCTAATAACATCCAGATCTTCAGATACCACGAGAAGCCTTTTGCTCAGAAACTTGACATACTCTACCAACGCAATTTGTATGTTCTGGCCATCAACCTGGCCCAGAAAGCAGGACTGGACTCTTCCCAGCAGAACATCATCCTTCGCAAGTTTGGCGACTACTTGTATTCGAAGCAAGATTATGACACTGCTATGCAGCAGTACCTCAAGGCCATTGATAACACTGAGCCATCTCAGGTCATTCGAAAGGTACATATGAACGAGTTGTCCAACTACTTCATAGCTAACAGTCAAATCAGTTCCTTGACACGCAGAGAATACATAACTTGATAGAGTATCTGGAAGAGCTCCATGACCATCACAAGGCGACATCCGACCACACTACTCTACTCTTGAATTGCTATGCCAAGCTTAAGGATGTAGAGAAACTTGAAAACTTCATCAAGTCACCCGACGATCTCAAGTTTGATCTCGATACAGCCATCTCGATGTGCCGACAGGGAGGTTATTACGATCAGGCAGCTTTCCTCGCCCGGAAGCATGGGGAGCACGAACTCGTTGTCGATGTTCTGATCGAGGATTCGAAGCGGTATGCGGAAGCTCTAGCTTACATATGGCGGCTGGAACCCGAAGTGACGTACTTCAATCTCATGAAGTATGCTACAGTACTACTGCAGCACTTACCCAAGGACACCACACAGCTGTTCATCGATTACTACACTGGAAGATTCCGGCCTAAGCAGGATGCTATTGTCATACCGAATGCGCCTTCGTCTGGAGGAGGCATGAGTATGGGTCTAGGTGTTGCATCCAGTGCTGTGCAGAACCTTGCTGCACTACTCCCACTGCCTTATATGAACACCAATGTGCTGGCATCACCACCCAACGGCGAACAAAAGGGCACGATGAGCCAAGCTCAAATAGTCGAGACGACGACCGATGAGCCCGCGCCTGAATACAAAGTCCCGAAACCGCGGACTGCATTCTCAGCGTTTGTCGACCACCCCCAGGAATTCATAGTGTTCCTCGAAGCATGCATTGCCTCGGAAGATCTTCGCGAAGACGACAAGGTTGATCTTTACACGACTTTGTTTGAGATGTATCTACATACTGCATCGTCGAAGAAAGACGGCGAGCGACAAGAATGGGAGAACAAGGCCAAGAAGCTTGTCGAAGGCAAGAACATACCCATAGACACATCAAATGTGTTACTGCTTTCCCACCTCTCCGACTTCCGCGATGGTGCCATCCTTGTTCGCGAGCAGCAAGGGCTCTACTTTGACATTTTCCGCTCCTGCACCGCGGCCAACGACACCCAAGGGGCCATTCGCGCCCTACGAAAGTACGGCCCAGAAGAGCCCGCACTCTACCCAGCAGCCCTCGCCTACTTCACCTCGTCGCCCCAAATCCTCGCCGAAGCAGGCGACGAACTGGACTCGGTCCTCAAGAAGATTGACGAAGACGGTCTCATGGCGCCCCTGCAAGTCATCCAGACGCTCTCGACCAACGGCGTCGCGACAATGGGCATGATCAAAACGTACCTCAGCACAACTATCGAGCGCGAGCGCGCCGAGATCGCAGCCAACCGGCGCAACATTGAAACGTTCCGGTCCGACACGTCGGCCAAGAAAGCCGAACTCGAAGCCCTCAACACCAAGCCGGCCGTGTTCCAGAACTCGCGGTGCCAGGTGTGCATGAAGAGCCTGGAGTTGCCTGTTGTGCACTTTTTGTGCAAACATAGCTACCATCAGAGCTGTCTGAGTACAGATGAGGATGTGCATGATGCAGAGGTCGAGTGTCCGATCTGCAGCTCGAATAATGCGACCATCAAGGCGATTCGGCGGGCGCAGGTGGAGAGTGCGGAACGGCATGATTTGTTTCAGGATGCGCTTAAGAGGGGCAGGGATGGGTTTGCGGTTATTAGTGAGTGGTTTGGTAGGGGTGTCATGGGGGTGGGGAGTTCAGAGTGAAGGAGGGTTTGACGTATCCATGGATGCAGAGTATAATGGAATAAGTGAGGCTCATGACACGCATGTATATAGAGGTGGAAACCAATCGATTGATGCGTGTAATGTGGTGTATTTAATGTTTACCGCTTGATAGTTACGCAGTGACAATATTGCGCACACATGTCTGTAATTTTCAATCATTTGCATATGGTGCTTCAATCCGAGGCCCAATTGATGAGAGCGCTCTATCCGCGAAGTCTTGTCACCACAAGCAATGGGATAGCCTGGATACTTGACTTGTCTGGTGGAAGCTGGAAGTGGGGTTTCTCTCTTCCATGGTTGTCTCACCCAACTGTCTGAAGCATGGTCTTTGGTAACCGGGTTTCTGTGGATAGTTTGGTATATGTGTGCTCTCTGTTTGCTGTAGCCGCGCTTCTGGTCCAGTGAGAGCATCGCATCCTTGACTCGTATACGCGTATGAGTATTCGATGCTGCTGCATATCATCACAGCTGGATCCTGCATCTACTACTGTTCACGAATATCTCTCAGGAAGTGAAAAATTGATAGACATCTCCACCTCATTGCAGCTCTCGCGTGTGCTTTTCAATTCCAAAAAAAAGTCACATCAGTAGTCACATCAATATCAATCTCTGCCGGTCCCCCCTCCCCCCTCCCCCTCCCTC